GGGGGGGGGGGGGGGGGGGTCGTGCTCATGTTTCGCATGCCTTTTAGCGGTTATACCGTTGACCACGAGTTCCTCGAGAGGACGGAGCATTGTTCCCACAGGATCGATGACAGATGCGCCAAACTCAGTCCTTCCTAATTTGCCATAGGCGGCTCAAAAACGATTTCCGCATCTACCCCATCCTAACCATGTCACTTCTCGCGGTGCGGGGCAAAAAAGCGGTCCGGGAACCCAGTATCGCAATTACACGTGGCACACAGGAAAAACAGGAAAAGACCACGCAGTCGGGGGGGAATGGGTACAGTAGCGAACAATCACAACAGGCCATTGTGGGAGAGAATAGAGTGCAGTAGAGGTCTCTGTTTAGTGACGGTTGAACAGTGCCGGTCCGGTGGATTCGGGTGAATTTTAGGCGCATACCGGCACTAAACAGGGACCTCTACAACTGACACCCTCGCCAAAATGAAACGATCCAGGATGGTGAGTTTTTCCCCAACAGACTGTACTGGGCTAGAGGAACCAATTACATCCAGACAGCTGGTATGTTCTTTTTGAACGACAGCACCGACGACGATCGTAGGTGATCCATTATCAGGAACCTACGGAGGTAGAAATTTTGCACGGGGAAGGAGGTAGGGCTAAATACGAAAGCGAGACATGTGGGCAAGGTTCGAATGTGCGCCAAGGGTCTACGCCCGCCGAAGTGTCGGGCTCAGAGCAAGCAGAACGACGCCCATCGCACAGCGTGCGTCGGTAGGAAAACAATAGTAGTGTGGGTTTCGAGTTCAAAGGAAAGTCAAAGGAGGGCTCCAACATATATGTACGCGTAACACAACCAACCACAACCGCGCTTGCCCTAGAAAAGGTCTTCGGCAAATTAACAAACGCTTCAAAAATTTGCAATGAGCCGATAGAGAGTTGAGAGAGAGATGGAGGAACCGAGGCCCAGAACCGATCGATTCTTGTGGGAGAGACGGAAATGGTCTTAACGCCAAAGCCTACAGCAGCAACACGCTCTCCGTAGGTCCCACGACACAAAGCATGAGCAGGACAAGCAGGACAAGCAGGACAAGCAGGACAAGCAGGACAAGCAGGACAAGCAGGACAAGCAGGACAAGCAGGACAAGCAAGACAAGCAGGGTAGGCACCTTCCGGGACCATCGTCGATATGAGCGTCGCTAGCTGAACCACCCCCTTCGCCTCCAGCCGCAGCTGCCTTCGGATCGAGTTGCTGAGCGGCGGCGCCGAGAGAAAAACGCGCAAGGCGAGCGCGAGAGGTGTGAGGCCATGAACATTGAGCGTGGGATTCGAACCGTCGCAGAGCACAGCAAATTGGACGCAAGAAATCAAAACCATCACGTTTGACTTCAAGAAAGGTGTACCCTCTTTACACTGGCCTGACACCACGGAAAGGGCCTACGCGAGTTGGACCAGTACGGACATTAGAAGGTACCGAGCAGAGACCGGAACGGGTTTTGATGTGAAGACAACAACAACGACAACATCAGCGGAGACTTGAGTGAGCTTACACCAGTCTCTGCTCTCATTCGTGAGGGTATAGATAACATCCTCGCTGCACACTTGTAGGTTCCACAGCTTGATGTCTTAGGCATACAGTGTGTACGCAGAGGGACAAGGTGATCGTGTAACACGGAGCGAAGAGAGTGCACTCTTCTCGCATGTCGAAGGCAAAGCAACGCAGGACGGTGGGGTGGGTAGGGGACCTGAGGGACAGGAGCCCTTCTGTGTGACCACCGGTTGGAGTAAACGGCATATGTGGTGTTAGCGAGCGCTGATTAGAAGTGAAGACAACAAGCAAAAATACGGCAGTACCTTTCTATGTATCCGTTCGAAGCAACTCGCATGTGAATCGACGCGCAGCGGTAATCGATATATACATGTGGCTCTGTTCAGAAATACAGGGACTATTCGGGTTCTCCCGTCATTCCCAAGGAACCTCGTGAAAAACAATCAAACAGACAGATCGCTAGCTGCTTGCTCGCTCGCCTCGGAGACGGCCTTGTCCAGGTCGTCTGTGTGGCTGTACAGCCAGTCCGCTCCCCTGGCCGCGTCCCCCCCCGTAGCCTTCAACGCTCCCGACGCCTGCCTTTCCGTGAAACCCAGGCTGACTAGCATCATCAAAGCCTCGGGGTCTGGCGCCGCATCACCGGAGGCGGCGGCGTCGGGGGTCCCGGTGGATGCGCCGGGTGCGGGGAGGGGGTCGTTGAAGTCGGCGTCGCCCATGTGCTCCAGCACCCAGTTCATCGCCACCTCTGGTTGTTGCCACGTGGGGGAGAGATGGAACTGTCAGTAGCAAAAATTCAAACTGTTTCGAGCGTAGCATCAACATGCCCCGACTGCTGCGTCAGAAACACCGCAAGCACAGCGCACCCAACATCCTAGCATCCTCAACCCCCCTCATAATTGCCGTACCTTTCCAAAGTAAGGAAGACGCAAGACAATAACTTCCGCAAAAAAAAAACAAAGGTCAAGGTTTCCAATCTGACCTGCAGAGGCGTTTTTGACCGCCACAGCCGCCCTTCTGCACCCGTTCTCCTGGAACCCCATGGCCATCAGCTGTGACACCAGCTCGGCATCAGGAATCACTGCTCCTCCTAACGTGCATTCGTGTGTGTGTGTGTGTGTGGGGGGGGGGGGGGGGGGGGGGGGGGGGGGGGGG